ACTTTTTTGCCGTATGAGTATACGTTGCCTAGGGTGCATCACATCGAGGTAAATCCACCGCCCACCCCGATCAAGTTTTTCATACCTACTTTGTTTGACACCCATTTTATCTGGAAATACCGAGTGCTCCACAGATTTTACTATTTCGTATAGATTATTGAAGCGATGAATTTCTCTAAAAACAGTCGGTCACTTCACTGTATAAATATTTATAAGTACTTTTGCTGGGCATTTACGAATAATTTATGTGTTTATATTAAGATTTGAAATGTAGTAAAATGTTCCTAAGTCGTACACTCTAAAATCGCGGTATCTCGAATTTCCCAATTTACTTTGGTGCAAAATGATCTTTAATTGTACCCTTGAAACATAATAAACCGGTCAATAGTATATGGTCTTTGAATGTGAGGTATCAAACGAAACAATTCCCCCCCCCCCCACCCTCTTTGTAGATTTCATATTTTCATGCTCTTTTGTCCGTGAATCTTGACTCGATCAGCATTCAGCGTTCGCTTTGGTCTAAAAGGAATGTCTCCATCACTCGTTTGCTAAAAAAGAGCCCACTTTCAAGTCTGGTTTCGCTCTTGTGAGTCGGTCCTTGGTTCCATCTTCCGAATGCTCGTTAGTTTCATGCTCGTTTAGATGACCGCTTTCTTCTGAATTTTGGCTTAGTTCGGAACATTATTTGCATTTACAAGATTTCCAATTACCAAACCTTTCAAACTATTAATAAATTGCAGTTTTAGATAGATAGGCTAGTATTCTGGGATGCAATTTTAAATAAAATTTGTTCACCTCTGTCCATATACTCGTGTTAACCAGGAAGGTACTAAGCCATATCACTGTTATATTTGATGTCAAAAGTCCTCCATCCTTCCACAATATCCTTCTGAGATGTTTTCATCACGCTTTTCAAATATATTGAGAATTCAACAACAGATGTCAGTGGGAAAAGGTTCTCAAAGATTAGAAGAAAACAGTGGACATTTGAAGCGACCCGTTGAAATGAGGGAATAATAAGAGCTTCATCTGAAACACGTGATAACTTGCTTCATTTGACCTTCGTCATAAATTTTTCGGAAAGCATTTTTAGAGTTTTGAAGCCTGTTCACTAAACAATTCGAACAGAGTCAAGGCAGTTTCATCGAGCCTGAAAGGTAGGATTGACCTGCGATTAATAAAACCCACAAACAATTTACATTCCTCAGTTATTTAAGTCAATGATAAAAAACCGATTTTTCAATGACCTGGTTATGGGTGAGATTGTTCCGGAAACATCATTACCTTTTCAAACTAATTTTTGCAAATATGCTATGCTTCTGGTTCAAAATGATACTCACCTTTTATTGGATTGACAATTAAGAGGATAGTTGGAATGAGAAATACCCTAGTTTTCATTGAGCGTCATCAAAATTCATAGTGCTCCTCATATTTCATCAAGATGAGTTCAAATTATTCAATATTCATATTGATTTTCCGATTGAATATTCCAAAGTAAAGTTCTCTATGATCTACAGCCTGCTAGCAGCTATCGCAGGTGGAAATGAAAGAATGTTCAAGTCAGTCAAGCACAAATAAACTCTCGAATATTGAATATTCAAAGTACTTTTCTCCATGACTTGTTAGCCTACTACAAACAATCTCTGACTAAAACCTTTCTATATACAGATAAGGTAAACACAAAAATTAAAAATTCCATTTTCTCAAGGGGGGAGGATAGTTATTTCATATTTTCTCTCAATTAAAATATACCTCCGCCCTGAGACTAGGATATATTAACTAGTTTTTTATTTCCTCATAAATCATAATTACTTGACGTTTAATAGCATGATCTTTTATGTTCATTGTCTTCGGTTAAATGTCAGTCTAACTCAAAGATCCATTTTAAAGGTGACTAAATTTCATTAATCACAAGTTAATAATGAGGTTGTGACTACACTTATAGTTTGAATTTAGAGGAAAATACCTTAGTTATTTATTTATTTATAACAAATGGCAGGCGGTTTGATAGTTATCATTAGTCCTTTAGTTGACTTCGGGCTTCACAGAGGGGAGGAGGAACATCAAAGTGAGAAGAATTCAGGAGGGGGAATAGAAGGGTGTTTCAAAGATGTAAAAGAAACAGACACAAAGGCTCAGAAAGGGTAAGATGAGTAGTGGTAGGGGTCGAATATGACATACAGTGGAGGTGATGGTTGTTTGAAGTTAGAAGTCAACTGTCGATTAATAGACTTTTTTGCCGCATGAATATACGTTGCCCAGGGTGCACCACGTGGAGGTAAGTCTATCGCACACCCCATATCTTAGTTATAGCAGTTAGCAAAGTTGCTGTTTAATTGTCCAATGAGCGTTTGTTTGGTCGAGGCCCCTCTGACACTCCATTAGCACACATTTAAACAAAGTTGCGCACACATTTGAAATGTGCTATTTTTTGTGACTTTAGTGCGACAAAATATGTGGAGTCTGAATTAATGCTGTACGATTTCATTTAACTACTCTATTTACCTCCCATGCTATGATTTCACTAGGTCTTCTTTTAAATATACTGTTAGACCTAAAGCTAAAGTTGAGTTAAATTTTATACAAGTACTTTATATCTATCCAGGTACGTTTGTAAATTTCAATTAGTTCCTTGCAATATTCCAGGAGGCGCCAGTTGGCTACTCTATAGCTACTCTATAGCCAGTTAAAAGACGCAGTATTATCTTAAATGTCATGTGGCGAATTTATTGGACTGTCATCAGACGAATGAAATACTCAAAAAGAGCCAACTTTACAATATTTGTAGTATTTTTGCTCGTGTTCCATACATTTTATCGTTGTTTCATGTTAGTCTACACTAAGATAAAATGGTTCTATGAGAGGTTATCAAGCCTCATTTGATCGGCCTGTAATTTAACTTAAATGACAGTTAGTAATAATTTAGTAAAATTTCCGAACTCCCTTTGTAATGTTCTAATCCTTCAGTTCTGAGCACTTCCAACAGGAAATACCAAATTGGACTAAAAGGGATCGATTCTGATGTTTCCAATCAGGCACATGCTTGTTCACTATACAATTCTTTTGTATCGTTAAGACAAAACGAAAATAATGGTGAATTCGAAATTCGCATTTCATATTTCACATTTTGCTATTGGTAATCTTTTGCTTATTTTCCATTAATATGCAAAAGTTTTTCCAGGATTTTTCGTGGATAATAACAATGCCTAAAGCCACTACTTGAATTTTCAATCTGATTTATTTTAACAACTTGCAGAAACACTGTTACACAATTTTACTAGAAAAGGCCGTATTGTCTGGAAATAAAAATTAATTCTAATCCATAATTTAGATTTCATAATTGTATGTGTAATTTTACAGTGTCTTATATTTATTCAGCGCCTTTAAGTTACGTGAGATCTGTTGGAGTGATAAGCGTAGATTTCAATTTCGACCCCCTTTCCGGACAATTTGTGCATACGCACACACCCGCGCTCAGACAGCGCATGAGCACCATGTCCAGAATATTGGGACAAAACATTGTCAATTTGGCAATTGCCCTCAATCTCCGAAATCGATCAAAGATCACTGTTTTGTGTGAACCATAGGCAAACCCTAAGGAAATTAGAGAGCCTTAACGCATGAACTCAATTAAAAATGTTCCCAAAATGCCTGTCACGTTCGTGCATGACACTGGGAAGAGAGATAAGGTGATAATTAAATAATTTTAATTAACGAGTAACGTAATACTTGCGTCCGTTATTTTAGGGTAATACAATTGCTTTTCTTGTTATTCCCAAACAGTGAACAGAGTTCAGAGACCACTTTTCCCTTAAAATGGATCACTGATTATGGGTTTATTGGCTGGATATGACGTCTCCACGATTATACAATTATTTGTTCTTCAGGCAAATAAGTGCCTCTCAGTGATTCAAATCTACAAAGGCTATTGGTCTTCCCCTTCTTCTGGGTCTAATTCTATTTACCAGTGGTCCCACGGAGTATCCATCAATATCACAGAGGCTGCTTAGATTTTAAAAGTGACTACTTAATATAATATTTTTAAAAACTTAGCTTACTGTTATGCCCATGGTAGAGATAAAAGATTTAGATTGGCATTCGAACCAACATAGGTGCCGCGTAACTTTTATTGAATGGACTTTATCAAGGCGGCTCATCTTTCCAATTAATAAGGTCCTCGTACCCTGAGTAATTCAAAGTGTTCCCTTAATGTAGGTTTCAAAGTGGGATTGTGTTGGATTGTGTTGATAATGAACAAAAGAGCATTGAAGAACTCTGCCTTGTCAACTCATCGCTTCAACTACTCCTAACGCAGTTTATGCACTTTCGCCTCATAATTTTAGCCTTGTTCTCTCCGTAACCTTCCATTTTTTCTTCCACGTTCTCCCAGTCTCGATCGTACATTCTAATCACCCCCCCCCCACAGAACTCATTTAATGTTTGGAAAAAAATATTTTTGTATTTATCAGATCTGAGTGACATTTCATGACTCAGAAATTGTTGCTCAGAAGATTTAGTTGAGGATTTGTGTTTACCAACTTGGCAAAGAGTAAAATGACCACTATAGTCGAATTTGCTAGTAAATGTGATTACCAAGTATATTTTGTAGTGCTCTTTATGCTCTATATTTACTTCCACTCTTTACTTTAGGCAAGATGTCTTGAACTTGAGGGAGAAATGAACTGTCAGACAGTACGTCTGAATCAGCTGACTGAGGAGTTGCACCAAGTGAAAGCGACAAATAGTCAACTTCAAAGCGAACGTGGCCAACTTCGTGAGATCCTGATTGGCGAAGTTGAAAAGGAGTTAGCCGCAGCTAGAACCACAGCCACAAGAGCTCAGCAGGAGGCTGCAGAAGTGAAGGCTCAAGCTGCCGCGGAAGTTGCTCGACTGCAAGCTGAGTTGAAGGCCACCAAAATAGACGCTGCTGAGGAGTTGGAATCCTTGCATCAAAAGTGCGTTTTTGCCATATCTGGGTGTTTTATTGCGTGAGAAGAAGGCTAAAAAGCTGTAACCACATCCATGTTTATTCTCATCGTGTGTGAAGTATACGTTCATAGATATCTAATCTCTCATCAATATAATGGGTTCGACAAGATGACCCCTCCATGAGATTGACCCTTTCAAATCAATCAGGTCATTTTTTCCATTTTATTAAGCAAATTCAAGAGGTATCCTCTGGTCTCTTCCAGAATTTCGTTAATCATTCTTCCACATTAAATATTATGCCCTCTACTGCTAATTCAATGGCGATAATTGGGTAATATTGCGTTATACCACTGGAATATTTCATGTCAAATTATACTTTCTGATGTTGTGCCTTTTTCTACCGTATCTAGGCCACTCAACTCCCCCCCCCCCGCCTTCTAAGTGCAAAACCCTTATTTTCATGCAGTTTTTTTGGTTCTATATTCTAGCACCAATGTATGTCTGTGATGCTAATTTTTTTTTCGCTTCAGGATCAAGGAAGCCATTATCAAAAAGGACACAAACATAGCTGAAATGCTACGACGCCATGAGAAGGAAGTGAGGGAGCTGAAGTCAAGGCTGAGTGCACAGACAGCAGCTACTGCCAAGAACAACAGCTATGCTTCCATGATGAGTAGAGGGTCAAAGACACAAAGTTCCCAGTCAAACACTGTTGGGAGTGGTGTGAGAAGAGGTGGGACAGCAGTGGGAAAAGCTAGAGGTGCTCCTTTTCGAAAATACATCTATTAAGCACTCTCCTTGGCTTATTTCGAATGTAATACTAAATTTCCTTCTTAAATAAATACATTTTCATGCATCAGAGCCTTGTGAGATAACATGACCAATTTTAACAGGAATATCATAGGAATGAGTAGTGAACGGGTTATTTTTCCTGCATTTTCAGGCTAAAGCACTCCAGTTTGAGGCAATTTTTTGTGTGGGAGGATCAGGAACGATTTTCAACATAAGTCATTGAAGGTATGATCCCAGTAATAGGTGCAACGAATTGGAGCAACTTATTCCGGTTGTTGTAAATATAATTAGAATTTATTTATGATAAACTTTGAAAGAAAACTCAATGACCTTGGAAATCAGGACCATTTTAATAGAATTAATCTATTGGTAGGATTGATTTGCGGCGTCTAGCCAGACAATTGAGACTGCAATGAATAATGGAAATTTTCAAGGGGCTCACACAAAAAGCTATCCATATTCATTTTAACAACGCTTAAGACCGCCAAAGGGAAAATGATATTTGCTGATCACCGTTTTACCAACATTGCTGATTTGGCTTCTATTTTCTTCATTGATAAATAACAGCTGACATCACTTCAAGACATTTAAGTGGGTGAATTTGGCATTCTTTTCTCTAACGAGAGCACCTCTGACCCCGCGTGGTGTCATGCCAACTGTAAACACCCGCCTTCACACCGTAGGAATACGAATAATTCTGAGTAGAAAAGAGATAACTTAACTCACCAACGTTTTAGAAGTTAAACTTTTCACAGTCTTGGCTATTTTTATCCAAGCTGCTCCATTGAGACGTAGATTTTGAACTTCGCTTCAAGGGATTCTATAAGTTAGGAAAGATGGAGTTATTTGATATGCGTAATTAGTTGATCAATAATCTATGACATTGTGGTCAAACTCTATTGAATAGACTTTTTGAAATGAGATGAGGTGACAGAGAGGAAATTGGAATTTAAATTATGCTATATAGCGGATACCACGCAAATATTTATATCAAATAGCAGGCTTTATGATAGTTATCATTA